GCGGCGGGGGGTGTGGGGGGGGGCGGGAGCGGGTGGGGGGGCATACAGGAGTGATGGGGGCTGACCTCTGGGTGGGACTCATTTCCCTGCTGCACTCGGATGTCCTCATGGACTCTGTCCAAACCCTGAGTCGGCAGGCTGACACAAGTGCAATGTGTAGGGAGTCAAAGGGAAGGGCACTTGGAAATCCCGTCGTCTAGAAAAGGAGACACGTGGACTAAAAAGACTACAGAATAAATGTCATTAGAAGACATTTATAAACAGTTCAGTCACCAGGAAAAATTACATCAAAAATTTGTCACAAAATAATTTATTAGATACAAAAATGTATACAAACTAAAGGACAGACACTTTTAATACAGAAACAAACAGAACACTTTTCACGGAGTAAGGGCGCCATCTGGTGGTCGTAGGTACACATGTAACATGAGCAAGTCTGAGGCCCTCAAAGCAGGTAAGGAAACTGCCAGGTCACACGGGTAAATGAGTCAGAAAGTGACTCTGTCAGTGTCCCCCCCGCAGGCTCATGGCCTCCTGGATCTGCCGGTTGAGCTCGCTGATGATGCGGTCCTCGTGCGTGTACACGCCCGTGCGCAGGAGTGTGTCCCTCTCCTCCAGGAGCCGGCTCAGGTGCTCGTCCACGCCGTCGCTGGCCACCGCCTCCTGCTCCAGCCCAGGTCTGGGGCTCCGCCTGCCCTCCTGCTGCTTTAACCTGAATGGGGGAAGGAGGGTCACCAAGCGTGGGAGGTGCGGCCAGCGGGCCTGCTCTCGAACCCGTGCGGATCATACTTACAGGAAATCGCACCGGCATTCATCACGCATAATCATTATAAAGCCCAAGTTTCAAAATGGCTCACAGCTGCTCATCAATATGTTTCGACAACCCTATGAAGGCCACACACCCTTGCGATGTCCAGCCTATCAAATGCTTCGTCCTCCCCCAGACCCCTCCCAAATGGTGTGCGTCCCTCTCCCCACCAAACAGTGCCGCCCCAGATCCCCCCACCACACACAATGCCGCCCCCCAAACCAGTTCCCCTACCCAACACAGTGTAC